AGTCACTCAGATCCATCATTTATAGTTATTTACACCAGTCTTTGAATCCCCCATGTTCCTCTCTGCCACAACCAGTCCCTCTCCCCAGCCAGCTGCCTCTGCCCACCTTCTGGACCTTCAATATTGCTTTTCTTGATTTTGACACCTCACCAAGGTCTATTTGTTACTTTAAAGTCTCCCTTTAGTCTAGAGGCCTTGAGGACACTTCATAAGTATCTTATTCATTTATTAATAACATGTAATGTGCCTAGCATTGGGCACAATGGGGGGGGGGTTGTGGGCAGATGACCAGGAGAATCTCAACAATGGAGATAGTGACTGGGGATTGTGTGAACACTGCAGATAAAACTCAAATGTTCAAAGGGCTGGGGGTGTATAGGGAGGGAAAGAGAAGACTGTTAGGATAGCAAAAATGGGAGCCACTCTGATACTCAGGCCAACGGTCACGCTGTGGGAACACAGAATTTTCTTTGCCAGATCTTCCAGAATTAAACAGAATGTGGATTTTACATGAAATCTACCAGTTCACTAAAATTAACCACTAATGTGATTTGAATTGTCATTTTTAAACCCTGAGTAGTTCTAAGAAAACCCACATGCCACCAAATGTGGCTTCTGAGCCTTCCACTTACAAGGTCTGTGCTGAAGGGCTTTCCATTCTCCACTCTTCGTACCTGCGCCTGGTGAAAAACCTTTAAGTACCCATGTCTCCCAGGCTCTGTGTCCCTGTGCCAACACAGCCCCTGGCAGGGAACAGGTGCCTTCTAGGTATTATTGAGCTGCAAAATATATCTTTTTGGAGGGGAGGAGGTACTGGAAATTGAACTCAGAGGCACTCAGCTACTAGCCTCATCCCCAGCCCTATTTTGTATCTTATTTAGAGACAGGGTCTCAAACAGTTGCTCAGCTTCTTGCTTTTGCTGAAGGTGGCTTTGAACTCGCAATCCTCCTACCTCAGCCTCCTGAGCAGCTGGGATTACAGGCATGTGCACCAAATTCCGTGCAAAATATGACTTAAAGGTCGCTCTTGGGCTGGAGATGTGGCTCAAGCTGTAGCGCGCTCGCCTGGCATGCGTGCGGCCGGGGTTCGATCCTCAGCACCACATACCAACAAAGATGTTGTGTCCCCCGAGAACTAAAAAATAAATATTAAAAAATTCTCTCTCTCTCTCTCTCTCTCTCTCTCTCTCTCTCTCTCTCTCTGTCCTCTCTCACTCTCTCTTTTAAAAAAAAAAAAAAAAAAGGTCGCTCTTTACCCTCACAACCTTGGCACTTTACTGCCCATGAGTCTGGGGTCAAATACCTTATTCTGGCATTCAAAGCCCACCACAGTCTGTCCATCCCTTCCCAAGATTTCACAGTGCTCTGTTCCATGGGGGCTCTCCTAATTTGGCCAAAAAGGGTACATTTATCATATACAATTGATTTAGCAGTGGAGGTGCCAGACTTTCCCCAAACCACTCCTCTTTTCAAGAGCCCATGGATCAACTAATCTACAAGCATTAAGTGCCCTCCATGTATGGTAGCTGGTACTGAAATGTTCCAGGCCTTCAGCTTAAATGTGTATGTGTTGGGGAGGCGGCTGTGGGCAGGAGTTCACCACCTTGGGAGGTGATGGTAAGTGGGGACAATCAGTAGGCTGAATAGAGAAATAAAAGAAATGATCAAACACTGCAGAGTGCAGGCTTCTCTAACTCCTGCAGATAACCCATCCAGCCAACAAGGAATGGCCCGGAATCTCAGTGCCAGTCATAGGTGTCACCCACCCATGAGCCCTCTTTATAGGGAGAAGGAAAAGTACACCTGTGACCTGGCCCGCGAACGTTCTAACACCTGCGAGGGAGAAGACGAATGATGGGCAAATACGGGAGAGAGACGGAAAGTGCACCAGCATCCTCAAATTCAGTTTGCTTCAACTCACTGTCCCAGGCAGGGGGATGTAGAAAATTAAGGAGTGTTCCTTGTAAAACAGATCCCGACGAGGATGGGATTCGAACCCACGCGTGCAAAGCACAATGGATTAGCAGTCCATCGCCTTAACCACTCGGCCACCTCGTCCCACACGCAGTGCCTCTTCCACATTCTCTTATCTCTCATCTCCTCCGCACTTCCGTGTCTCCATCGTTCACTTCTTAGTACCAACCTGGTAGGACCCAGGGGAGAGAAACGCTGTAGAAAGGAGCTTTTTAATTTCCTTTTGGCCCACTTCAGCCTGCAACCGCCCCATCTTTCACTAAGCTACAGCCTAGTTCTGCCACAGCTTCCCCTTCCGGAGTCTGGGCGAGAGCGCCTGGATTTCAGGACCCGCTGGACCAGGGGCTGCGCACGGATCCGGAGGGAGCGGTGCGCGTCCCGGGCCGGAGGCAGGCGGCGGGCGGCGGGTAGGTTCGGCTTTTGCAAAGCGCGCGGCGCGGGCGGCGGGTGCAGTAGCTCCTCCTCTCTCGCAGAGGGCGAGCTGGCGCGCGCCGAAGCCCGCAGGCGGACGGCGGGCGGGGCGGTGCGCGGGGCTCGGCTCGCCTCGGCTCGCCTCGGCGGTGCTCGGCAGGCTGCGGTAAATCCGGGCTTGCGGTCGCTGGCAGAGTCTGCGGCCCGGTGGTCCCTGCTGCGTGTTCCAAGCCCCGAGAACCATGCAGATGTCCTACGCCATCCGGTGCGCCTTCTACCAGCTGCTGCTGGCCGCGCTCATGCTGGTGGCGATGCTACAGCTACTCTACCTGTCGCTTCTGTCCGGACTGCATGGGCAGGAGGAGCAGGATCAATATTTCGAGTTCTTCCCGCCCTCCCCGAGATCCGTGGACCAGGTGAAGGCTCAGCTCCGCACCGCTTTGGCCTCAGGAGGTGTCCTGGACGCCAGCGGTGATTACCGCGTCTACAGGGGCCTACTGAAGACCACCATGGACCCCAACGATGTGATCCTGGCCACGCATGCCAGCGTGGACAACCTGCTGCACCTGTCCGGCCTGCTGGAGCGCTGGGAGGGTCCGCTGTCCGTGTCAGTGTTCGCGGCTACCAAAGAGGAAGCTCAGCTGGCCACGGTGCTGGCCTACGCGTTGAGCAGCCACTGCCCTGATATGCGCGCCAGGGTCGCCATGCACCTGGTGTGCCCCTCGCGTTATGAGGCAGCAGTGCCTGACCCCCGGGAGCCTGGGGAATTTGCCCTACTGCGCTCCTGCCAGGAGGTCTTCGACAAGCTAGCCAGGGTGGCCCAACCAGGGATTAATTACGCCCTAGGCACCAATGTCTCCTACCCTAATAACCTGCTGAGGAATCTGGCTCGTGAGGGAGCCAATTATGCCCTGGTGATCGACGTGGACATGGTGCCCAGTGAGGGGCTTTGGAGAGGCCTGCGGGAAATGTTGGATCAGAGCAACCAGTGGGGGGGCACCGCACTGGTGGTGCCTGCTTTTGAGATCCGCAGAGCCCGCCGTATGCCCATGAGCAAGACTGAGCTGCTGCAGCTCTACCAGGTGGGCGAGGTCCGGCCCTTCTATTATGGACTGTGCACACCTTGCCAGGCGCCTACCAACTACTCCCGCTGGGTCAATCTGCCAGAAGAGAGCTTGCTGAGGCCTGCCTACGTGGTGCCTTGGCAGGACCCCTGGGAGCCATTTTACGTGGCTGGAGGCAAGGTGCCCACCTTTGATGAGCGATTTCGGCAGTATGGCTTCAATCGAATCAGCCAGGTACCTAAAAGGGAGAGGGCAAGGGGGATGGGTAAAAGTGGTGGTGGGGTCAGGGATGGAGTGGCCCTGGGTGGAAGGAGGCAGTAAAGCAGGGGAGATCACAGTTTGGGATGGATAGTGCAGTTTCTAAGATACCTCCAGAAGGGTGAGGAAGCCCATCTGAGCCCTGGGAACTCAATTAAACTTTGCTGACTCTTCTTTCTCTCTCTCTCTCTACAGGCTTGTGAGCTGCACGTGGCAGGGTTTGATTTTGAGGTGCTGAATGAAGGTTTCCTGGTTCATAAGGGCTTCAAAGAAGCCTTGAAGTTCCATCCACAAAAGGAGGTTGAAAATCAGCATAATAAGATCCTTTACCGCCAGTTCAAACAGGAGTTGAAGGCCAAGTACCCCAACTCTCCCCGCCGCTGCTGAGTCCATCCCTCCCCTAGTCTGAGAATTCTCAGCCTTTGGCTCCTCAGGTCGCCCCTCAGGCCTGACTGGGGTAAGAAATGTCACTCCACTTTACAGAGGTAGCTATGGTGTTGGAACACTGGACTTGAATATGGGGTGCTGGGATCAAGTCCTAGCTTTACCACTAACTAGCTGTGTGGCCTTGAGCAAATCCCATTATCTCTCTGAGCTTCAGTTAAGCCGTCTGTAAAAAGGGAGGTGAGAATACCTACCTCACAGAACTGTTGGGAGGTTCAGATGAGATGCTATATGTGAAAACATTCTGTAAGCTTCGTACAAATGTGAAGTATTATTAATATTATTACAGTATTATTATTGTTACTATTGTTATTATTATTAACAATTTTGGGTGGATGGACAATAGAAGAGTTAAAAGTATGAATGGTGCAGAGTTAAGTTGGAATACTTAATGAAATTGGCCTTTTGGAAAGAAATCGGATGAAAGCATACAGTTTAATTTTTAGCAGAATCCTAAACTTCCTGGTTCTTCCAGGCCTCCATCCTCGGGGGCTCTGGAGGGGGGAAGGGTCCGCAGACTCTATGAGTGACAATCTGAGATCTGTACCCTCCCATAGGCTGGGCAGGGTTTTTGCTTTCGGATGACAATGTGTAAATAAACGAGTGTTCACACCCACAGCTGGCTTCGTTACTCTCCTGAGCTGGGGCCCCTGGGTTCTCCCTTTACACTTCTGGGGGAAAGGGCCGCGGATCCAGGGGCACCTGTAGCAAAGCGAGGAAACCGCTGGGGCCTTCCCAGCTAGCCTAAGGCCTGCGTGAATGTCGGCGGGTTTCTATGGAGACTGGCCCGCGGTATCCCAGCATGCCTCGGCCCCAGCGGTCCAATTGTGAGCTCCCCCGGCGGGCGCCTCCTGATGACTCACACGGAAGCGCCGGCAGGCCCCGCCTCCTGAAGAAGAGGGGTCTGCGCTGCGCTTCCGGGAGCCCGGCGGCTACGGCCAGTACCGGCAAGTTGGCGCACGTCTCAGGGAGCCTCGGACGTGAAGCCGGAGGCCCCAGTCCCCGCGGTGCGTATCGCCTTGCCCGGTGCCTGGTTTGGCCTCTCTGTTCAGTCGGTCCGAGACGGTACCATTTCCTCCTCTAGAGCCTAAGCAGAGACTTAACCGGCCTGACGCGCGCGGGGCCGTGGGGCCGAAGCCAGCGGCAGAAGAGCCCCCTAGCTATTCTCTGGCCCGCGTCGGCGCATCTGAGGGTAGAACGGGGCGACAGGCTCCCGGAGGGCCGCGGAGTGTCTTGAGGTGGCTCTGCGATTGTGGGGAGGGGTCCGTCTTCTCCGGGGGCTTGCCCTCGAGGAGCTTACTGTCTGGAAACTGCTGTTCGCCACGCTTTACGGTGTGCTTTTCCATCCCTTTTGCACCCGGGTTAAGGAGGTGGTGCGGGGTGGGGAGGGGGTTGCGACTTAATTTAACACATTTATAATCAGAATAAGCTGGAAGGGAGAGATGCTTCTGAAAGAGATAGTACTCACACGATGAGTCTTTACAATTTACATACACTTAATGGTGAAGAGGAATTGCCAGCGTTAGGAACTGAAGCGTAAAAATGAATCAGGTTTGGAGAACCGAGATCTTCAGGTCAGGTTCAGAACCTTGGTGAAATTATGGAGGAATGTGACTGAACTCTCTGGAGGCCAGACACTAAGCACTGCTTGACTTGGTGTCAAGAAAAATTAGCCACCACTACAGGCACCGGGGCTTCCAAGAAGTAAAAACTAATCCCTGCTTGCAAAAGTTTATTTTATGGTTACTTTGTTTTTGAAAATTATCCAGTGGTTAAGTGAGCCAGTACTGCGCTAGGAAGGAGCACAGGAGCTCGTGACCTCGCAGGGCTCCCACGTTCACTGGAGAGAGACTTCAGCATGGACAAATAGGAGAAGTAAACAAGAAGGCTTCCTGGAGGCAGTGGTGTCTACATCATTCTAAAGGCTTACAGAGCAGCCACCAGAGAAGTTGGAAGAACATCACACTGAAATAGAAGGCCCTGGGTGGCAGAAATGATCTGTGGAGAGGAATGTTTAGTTCTTAGGCCATCTCTTGGCAGGATTGGGCACTATCACTGCACCTTCCTTTTGAAATATTCCATGATTTTTGGTTTTTCCTTCTCTGCTGATCCTGAGAATTTCATCACAGGTACCTTCTCACTCCCCACATTCTTTCTGCCTTGCTGGTTGCATCCTCCTGTGGACTGAGGAACTTTGTATATGCTGATGATTGAATCTCTGTAGCCCAGGTCTTGAGGTTCAGAGCCTAGTTCAACCCTTCTCTCATTTCTGGGTCTTTGCATTTGCTACTCACTCTGCTGGAATGTTCCCTCTCTGTCAGCACGACACCCTACCCTATCTGTTCTGTTTTCCTCTGGAAGCCCTGGCTATAGCAAGCTCCAGATTCTGGCTAGATACCCCTCCTATACACCCCAGTGTTTAACACTCCTCATGCTGTAGTTACTGTTCCTTTGCCCCCTCTCACAGGAACTCGAAAGCTTCTTGAGGACAAAAAGTGTGTCTGTCAGAGTTGTACTACTACAGTAGCTGATGGTACCTAAAATATCTTAGGTGCTCAGTAAATACTAGATGAATGAGTAAAAGAAGGAATGCTTGTCAGGATTCCTGAAAGGTCAACATAGATAACCACTGAACAATATTGGCATTAGCCAAAAGGGCTCATTGGTTAACTCTACAGGGTCAGTTTCAGTGAGAGCAATGGGTATAGAAACAGATCAAAGGAGTGAGAGATAAAGTAGGAAGAGCAAGTATGCATATGCCTGGAAATATATAGCTATGAAATGGGTGATGCAGTGGTTAAGTTGGTGTGGTTAAGGTTAAGGGTTAGTGTGTGTTTGTAGTGTTAGAGATGGAGCCCAGGGCTCCGTGCATACTGCAAAGACTCTACCACTTAGTTACACCCCTAAACCCCTCTGCTTTTTCTTAATGGTAGAGTATACCTGAGCACATCAGAAATTCTATGGGAAGGATCCTGCCATCTTGGTCTATTTTGTGCTGCTATAACAATACCTGAGGACTGATGATGTGGCTCAGTGGTAGAGCTTTTGCTTAGCAAAAACAAGGTCCTGTGTTCAATGTCCAGCACTGCCACACATGTAAAAAAGGAAAAAAAGAAAACAGTAATACCTGAGACAGGGTCATTTTTAAAGAACAGAGATTTATTTCTTAGGATTCTGGAGACAAAGAAATCTTTTCTTTGGGAAGGTCTCTCAGCACTCTTGCATTGGGGATTAAGTTTCCTGCAGGTGAACTTTGGGAGACACGTTCAAACCATAGAATCTGCCAGAAACTGAAGACACAGGGGAGCACTGAGGCCCCAGAGGAAATGAGAGATGGGATTTGACCCAGAGACCAGCAAAAGACAAAGATTGTAGAGTGTTATCAGGAAGAGAAAGCTGCTGAGGGAGTCATAGACAGAGGAACTATATGGGCAGTGGGAGGGAGAGAAGTGGGAGTGTGAGAACTGGCCATTAGACGAGGTGAAGGAACTGGATTGGTAGTTCAAGTTCAGTCCATGAAGGGCCTTGAAAGCTCCAGTCAGAAGGTTTGGGAGTCTCAGCAGTGGGAAACCTGCCGTGGGCCTCTCCCCTAAGTGGATCACACCCTTCACCAGTATTGTAATTGGGGTTGTCCTCAACATCCAAGGGCAAGAGGATTTTCAGTCTCCTGTAAAAGGTACAAATGCCACCCAGTGTAATGCTCATGTGGTAGAGCCAGTCACTGCTCCCCACCCATGTCTCCCTTGGGGGTCAGTGGAGCTCGACTCCCTGCTTGCCTCTGTGCTGCTCTGAGCTATAGGCACTAGTGAGTGATGCTTCACTTCCTCCTGCTTCCAGAGCCCAGATGCCTGTCCAGCCTCCGAGTAAAGACACAGAAGAGATGGAAGCAGAGGGCGATTCCGCCACTGAGATGAATGGGGAGGAAGAAGAAAGTGAGGAGGAGCACAGCGGCAGCCAGACCGAGTCTGAGGAGGAGAGCTCAGGTGAGCCCCCACATACAGGTGCACGTGTGCACACAGGAGTAGCCGCCCACCCCTCCAGAGCCGGCCCTGACTGGCCTCTTTCCCAGAGATGGATGACGAGGACTACGAGCGGCGTCGCAGTGAGTGCGTCAATGAGATGCTGGACCTGGAGAAGCAGTTCTCAGAGCTAAAGGAGAAGTGAGTATGAGTACACCTCCGGCTGGGCTGATGCACCTGGGGGTGAGGAGCTAGTGGGGCTGGTGCTGATGTCCAGAGTAACAAGCACCCAGCAAGCGGCCTGTGGGGAGCAGTGTTTGCCCAAGAGTGATGGTGCCCATGGGAGGAGCCAGTGGTACTCAGCTGCCTTTCACCTCCCAGGTTGTTCCGAGAGCGGCTGAGTCAGCTACGGTTGCGGCTTGAGGAGGTGGGGGCTGAGAGAGCCCCTGAATACACAGAACCTCTTGGGGGGTTGCAGCGGAGCCTCAAGATTCGCATTCAGGTGGCAGGTTTGTGGTCATCCTGTGCTGTTCCCCTCTTGGAACCCACAGCTTTCTGTCCCCCTCTGCTCTCGACCCTGCCCTGCCTCACCTTGTTCTAGTAGCCAAGCAGAGCCTGTCTCCCTCCTTCTACAGGGATCTACAAGGGCTTCTGCCTGGACGTGATCAGGAATAAGTACGAGTGTGAGCTTCAGGGGGCCAGACAGCACCTGGAGGTGAGCCGACTGTCTGCCAGTGGACGATGGGCAAGGCCAAGGGCCTAACTGGGCCCACCTGGTTCCACCTGGTTGAGCAGCTGTGCCTTTTCCAGAGCGAGAGGCTCCTGCTCTATGACACGCTGCAGGGGGAGCTGCAGGAGCGGATCCAGAGGCTGGAGGAGGACCGCCAGAGTCTGGACATCAGTTCTGGTGAGGGCGGGGCCCAGCTCTGCCAGTGCCCACCCCTCCGGACCTCAGCTTTCCTGGCTGCACAAGGGAGGGTCTGAGGGCCTGCCTCTTGGGCGTGAGTGAGACCAGGCCTGGAAGGGCACAGCCCAGTGTCTGGCATAGTGGTGGCTCAGGCAGAGTGGGCCCCCTTTACCCCTTTCCAAAATGGGGAGTTGTAACTGATATGCCAACATATACAGTGGCCACAGTCCCCTCCACATCCATGGCACCTGTGTTCGTAGGGGTCTTGAAGAGGTGAGAGTTGTCTTCGTTGTGCTCTCTACTAAACACATAGTTAACTGAGACTCACTGAAGGGCCGTGGCTTCTTCCCCAAGCCCCACCATTGTTCAGTCAGGACCTAAGCAGCCCTAAGGGGATCCTAGCCCCAGGCCCAGGGTTAAGTCCTTGGGTGGTGATGGGGAAGGATGGGGAGGCCGGGCTGGCCCATGGGGGGACACAGAAGCCACAGGGGTGGAAGTGGCCTAGGGACCTTCACCCTGATCCTGACTCTGGGTCTGTGGGCACAGAATGGTGGGATGACAAACTGCACGCCAGAGGTGGCTCAAAGACCTGGGACTCGCTGCCACCCAGCAAGAGGAAGAAAGCACCTCTCGTCTCTGGTATCCTTCCATCCAAAGTGGCCTAAAACTGGACAGAATGGCAGGCAGGCTCCAGATTCCGGAAAGGGGACTGGAGGGGACATGAGAGACAGTGGGACTAGATACATAGATGGTTCAGTGTCATGTGATGCCCAAGCCAGTCCAGGAACTTCGTAGGGAATACTGGGTATTCCCTGCCTATATGGACCCTAGAAAAATAGAAAGCTCACCTCAGTGACTGCCCGTAACTTCTGAGTTCCTGAGCCTTTGAACCCCTGGCCTTCTCTACATGCCAAGTGTGGGCCCCAGTAGTCTGAGCTTTCCTGCCCCAGCCCTGCTGCCTCCCACTCGGAGGTTCTGCCTGTCCCTGCCTTCTTAATGTCATTGCACAGGCTGCCTCTTCTGTGAAGCTTCTGGTCTCCCTGTGCTTGTGGCGTCTTTGCGACCACGTCCTGTCTCTAGGTGCCCATATCTCAGAGGGAACTTGCTGCCTTCACCCCTCCTCAGGCAGGAGCCCCAGGCTGGAGCTTGCTGTGTCTTCCACCCACCTGCTCAGGCAGCAGCAATGAGCTGAGTGCCCCTTCCCGTGCAGCCAGAGCCTTTGCCTTGTGGTGATGGAGACAGGGAGGGAGGGACCTGGAAGGTAGTGACTTCCCGGGAAGCCATCGGGGGCTGAATGTGCAGAGACCTCCTGTGCAGAGCACAGGTGAGGGGGGACCACAGGAGTGTACTTTCAGGATGGAAGAGGCCAGAATTTGCCTTTAGATGGGGGAAGAGGTCCAACGAGGAGCCAGTTGGTGACATGGCCAGATAGAAAAGAAGGAGCAGGGCCCCTGAGAGTGGAACGGGCCTCTGCCACCTGACCTGGAGAAGGGAGGTGAGGGTGCAGGGTAGGGGAGCTTGGTGGACTCTGAAACAGGCTGTGGGGATCCCTAACAACCAGGGGGCCCTGAGGTAGGAGGCAGAGGCTGTGTTCAAATCCAGACTCTGAGGGGGACCCCTCAGTACTGTCCACACACCTCTTATCCTGAGCATTGTATAGGTGGCATTACCACCTCTGGCCTCCCCAGCACAGCCCCCATCACCTGTCCCCTCCGGCAGCTGTCCAGCTTCCTTGACCCTGTCACAGGCCCTTATATCGTGTACATGCTGCAGGAGATTGATATTCTCGAGGACTGGACGGCTATCAAAAAGGTGGGTCCCGTCTGGGGGTGGTGGCTTACACCTGTAATCCGAACAATTTGGGGGGCTGAGGCAGGAGGATCTCGAGTTCAAAGCCAGCCTCAGCAAAAAGGGAGACTCAAAGCACTCAGTGAGACCGTCTCTAAATAAAATACAAAATAGGGCCAGCCAGGGCTGGGGCTCAGTAGTCAAGTACCCCTGAGTTCAATCCCCAGTGCCAAAAAAAGATGTATCCACTCCTGCTTGAGTTCCCATCCTGCCTCTGACAGGGCCTGCAGCACAGGTCCCCCACTTAGGTGCCGGTATCTGGTATCTGAGAAGTTCTCTGCTCACCCTGGGCACCCCTTGCCTCAGCTCAGGTGCCCTGACATTGCAGCAGCTCATGGTCTTCTTAGTTTAGGCTGCACTGAAGAGAGGGACGTGCACCCTGTCCGCCCCTTGTTCCAGGCAACTCTATGGAAGAAAAGGAGGGAGGGAGGAAGGGAAGGCCATAGGACTGGCTATGCCTCTGACAAGAGACCTCCAAACTTTGCCTAGAAAGGGTGTCCTGCTCCCCCTGCTCTGTGCAGCCCCCACCCCTCAGAGGCCTTTATGGAGGGGGGGCTTGCCAAGCTGGAGGCGGGCTCTCAGGGAGGCTTTTCTCACTACCCAGGCCAGAGCAGCAGTGTCACCTCAGAAGAGAAAAGCAGATGGTAAGAACCTCAGGGTGTCCTGTTTCCCCTTCCCATCCTGTCCCCACACCTGCCTCCAGCAAAAGAGCCAGAGAGAAGACATTGGCTGTGTCAATCAGTGGCCTGATCTAGGACTGAGAAGTGTGTGTAGCAGGAACCAGGATGGGGAGTCTCTGGGTTGATGGAGCGAGGTAGATTAGAGGCCCCAGCCTATCTGGGCCAGGGTGGGCCAAAGCCCCTTGTATGAGGGCTCCCAGAGAGAGGCACCCAGTATCCTGAAAGAAGTGGCCGCCTCCTTTGTAGTTTAATTTCCTCTCAGTGATTTTCCCCTTCCCACAACCCCCAGGACCATGACTCTGCTGTTCACAGCCAAGGGTCCCTCGGAGCAGCTGGCATCACACCCAGGATTCACGTTTTCCAGCAGACAAGCTCCTGGGGCTGCACAGACCACTCTCCAGTGTTACTGCTGGGCCCCACTCTGCCCTCCTCAGAGCCTGCACAGCTGTGGCCCCAGAGCTGACCTGGCCAGGCAAGACTGTTGTCTCCATCTCTGACCACCTCTCCCTCCTGAAGATAAACCTCCTCTGTCCTCCAGCCAAGACGACAGGCCTTCCTAAGCCAAAGCAATACCCTTCCTGCTGACCTCTCCACTGAGCCAGGGAGCTGGGCCCGTGACATGGGAACTGAGCCAGACAAGGGGCTGACATATCATTATGTTGGGGGCCTGTCCATTCTGGCTGGAGCTGGAGGTGATAGCCAGGCTTCCCAGGTTTTCTCAGGGCTATTCCTGGTGTCTGCCTCCCAGATTTTGAAGACTAGAATTAAAACCTTTGCTGGGACTCTAGTGTGACCTGTGTGTGTATGATTTACCTTGAAGGAAATCAGGGCTTCCCTGGGGAGCACCTGAGACAGACTTTCTTCTGGTGCCTCTGAGGTCTGGGGTATAGGCTGGGGGGAGGGAGGCAGGCCTGGAGTCAGAAGCCACATGTGGCTCAAGGCAGAGCATGAGAAGCACGCAGCTCCTGGTGGGGAAGGGACTGGTAAACGTGCTTAGAGACCAGGTCATGTCTGCACCTGCCCCAGTTGCTTGGCAGATTGGCAAGGCAGGCTGGCAGGGCCTGTGCGTGGGAGGCAGCCGGCAGCAGCACCATGTGCTGACGACCTCACAGCCACACTCCCCCTGGTTAGCACTGAGTGTCAGAACCACCCCCAGAACCTCAGTTAAGCAAAGGGGTTGGTTTCCATGGAGACACAGCATCCTTTCTCCATGGCAACCTGAAATCCCAAAACCCAAGTTAGACTCAGGAATGAGTCATGTGTGACCAGTAGGGGGTGCTCTCCCACAAGGCTGACCCACAAGGCAGGGACGGATGAGCAACTGACCACAGACTTAAGGTGACCCAAAGGCGAGGCTTGTGCCTATGGGGACTGAGCCAGTCGTGCTTAACCCCTCCCCACCCAGCTGCACTGGGTGAGGAGGCTGGCAGACTGCAGGAAGCACTGTGCAGAGGTGGTGCTCTGCAGCTGGGGCTCCCAGAGTGGCGCTGACATGGAAGGGATCCTTGCTTCTTGAACCTGGAACTAGAACAGTGAGCGAGCTGTCACTGGCCAGGAGGAATGGGGCCAGGCAGAGTGGACACACAAGAGTTAATGGTTGGGGTGTGACAGGGCGAACCGCCCTCAGGAAGTGTTACTCACCACCGGGAATGTGCGGGAATGTGCGCCGCCTGTGCCTTGGGGGCTGGATTCTCTTCCTGAGTCCCAGAGAAGCCAAAGGAGCTCCCAGCCATGGAAGACGCTGGGCAGCCAGGAACACATCCTCTCAGAGACCCCTGCCGGAGCTTCACTCCTGGGCACCTGGAGAGAGAAAAGTTAGTGAAGTTGAAGGGACAGCCAGGTGGGGCAGGGAGGGATCTGGAGGGGAGGTGGGAACCCCTGAGGGGAAAGGGATGGGCAAAGCCCTCCTCCCCGCCTCCTGCTCAGGTCTGGGTGCCCACCTCCAGGCCAGCCCAGGACCCGCTATATGACATACCAGACACCAGCCGGGGGCAGACAGGTGGACCCCAGCAGCCGGCACGCACTGTGAGCCTGCGGGAGCGCCTGCTGCTCACCCGACCCGTGTGGCTGCAGCTGCGGGCCAATGCAGCAGCTGCACTGCATGTGCTGAGGACCGAGCCCCCAGGGGTGAGTGTAGGGACTGGCCAGCCGAGACAGGGAAAGCGGGGCTGAACACTGAGGTCTTGAGCCACGTGACTGTCCACTCACAGACATTCCTGGTGCGGAAATCGAACACTCGCCAGTGCCAGACTCTGTGCGTGCGGCTACCAGAGGCCAGTGGCCCCTCTTTCGTCTCCAGCCACTACATCCAGGAGAGCTCTGAGGGTAAGAGGGACAGCCTGGCAGGAAGGGGCTGGAGATGGGGGGATGGACCCTTCTCTGGTCTCACTTCTCTCATCCCCCAGGCATCTCCTTGGAGGGCTCAGATCTCCTGTTCCCCGATCTTGTTCAGCTCATCTGTGCCTACTGCCACACCCGGTGAGTCGGCCCACAGACCCTGCTCCCCGGACATCCTGTCCTCCCCACCCCACTGTAAGATTCCTCCACCTGACTCTGCCCCCCTCTCTGGCCTCAGAGACATTCTTCTCCTCCCGCTCCGGCTCCCCAGAGCCATACACCAGGCAGCCACCCACAAGGAGCTGGAGGCTATCTCCCATCTGGGCATTGGTAAGGGCTCCCTGCACCTGTTGCACAGATGGACAAGCTGAGGCCAGAAGGGGAAGGGAGGGCACCAGAGCCACAGCCTGCCTGTGCCTTTCCTTGGTGGGCACCCTCCCGAGCCTTCTCTGAGACCCCATTGGTTTCTGGTCCCTAGAGTTCTGGAGCTCCTCTCTCAACACCAAGGCTCCGCAGGGCCCACCTGAAGGCCCACCCCTGCCCAGGCTGAAGGCCCGATCCCCTCAGGAGCTGGACCAGGGCACTGGCGCTGCCCTCTGTTTCTTCAACCCCCTGTTCCCAGGAGACCTGGGCCCCACCAAGCGAGAGAGATTCAAGAGGAGCTTCAAAGTGCGGGTGTCCACAGAGACCTCTAGTCCCCTGTCACCACCTGCTGTGCCACCTCCCCCAGTCCCTGTGCTGCCAGGGGCCAACCCCAGTCACACAGAAAGGCTGCCCCCTGGGCGGCTTCTGAGAAGGGAGAGCTCAGTGGGGTACCGTGTGCCTGGAGGCACCAGCCATGTCCTCCCACTCCTGCCCTCCCTCCAGGAGGTGGACTGTGGCTCTCCCAGCAGCTCTGAGGAAGAGGGGCCAGCTGGGTCCAGGGGGAGTCCCATGACATCCCCTGGCCTTGGCCGCCGCAGGCCTCTGCTCCGGTCCATGAGCACTGCTTTCTGCTCCCTGCTGGCTCCGGAGCGGCAGGTGGGCCGAGCAGCTGCAGTGTTGATGCAGGACAGACACACAGCTGTGGGCCAGTTGGTGCAGGACCTACTGACCCAGGTGCGGGCCAGCCCGGAGCCCCAAGAGCTGCAGGGCATCCGCCAGGCACTGAGCCGGGCCCGGGCCATGCTGAGCGCAGAGCTGGGCCCTGAGAAGCTGCTACCGCCAGAGAGGCTGGGTAAGGCCCCAGCCTGGCCTCAAGTTTAGCCCCAGCTCTTCAGAACTCCAGTCCTTCCCCACCGCCCTCCTCGCCCCGTGCCACCTGGCTCTCTGATAACTGTTCTGCTGCACCCTTGTCTCAACATTCAAGTGAATTCCACCCCCTGCCTCCTGCTCTTCCTGCTCCCCCACAATTCTGCCCCTTCCCCCCTGACCCCTGCCCCTCCTCCCGCAGAACACATCCTGGAGAAGTCCCTGCATCGCTCAGTGCTCAAGCCTCTCCGGCCCATCCTGGCAGCCCGCCTGCGGCGCCGGTTTTCTGCAGATGGCTCCCTTGGCCGCCTGGCTGAGGGCCTCCGTGTGGCCCGAGTGCAAGGCCCTGGAGCCTTCGCGTCCCACCTGAGCCTGCCCTCCCCGGCGGAGACCGAGCAGGTGCGCCAGAAGCTGCTGCAGCTGCTCCGCACCTACTCACCCAGTGCCCAGGTGAAGCGGCTCTTGCAGGCCTGCAAGTTGATCTACACGGCCCTGAGGACCCACGTGGGTATGGCCCCCTCACTGCCTTGCCCTGTCCTGCCCCCCCCAGTCTGAAGCAGGCCCCCCAGGAGAGCAGCACAACAGGGGAGAAGAACCTGACCCTCCCATCTCAGATGGTGAAACTGAGACCCACAGAGGAGAGCACCCTGCAGCCCTCCTTATGGTTGATAGAACACCCCATTTTCTAGGGGCCGGTGCGCTAAGGGGAGGGGTCAGTATCTAAGAGAAGGAGAGGACTCTATCCTAAGTTTCTTCTTCCTATGTCCCCACAGGGGAGGGCGCAGGCGCAGATGAATTCCTGCCTCTGCTGAGCCTTGTCTTGGCCCAGTGTGACCTTCCTGACCTCCTGCTAGAAGCCGAGTACATGTCGGAGCTGCTGGAGCCAGCTGTGCTCACTGGAGAGGGTGAGGGCCCTACCTGCCCTCTCAGTGGGCGCAGGGCTAAGGGGCCTTAGCTGTTATATGGGCCCTGGGAAGCAGGGCCAGGGAGAAGGTCACCCCATGCCCAGCCTGAGCTACACTCTGCCCCCTTGTGTCCCAGGTGGCTACTACCTTACCAGCCTGTCGGCCAGTCTGACCCTGCTGAGCAGCCTAGGCCAGGCCCACACCCTCCCCCTCAACCCCTCCCAGGAGCTGCAGCGCTCCCTGAGCCTCTGGGAGCAGCGCCGCCTGCCTTCCACCCTCCACTTCCAGGTAAGAGGCCTGCCACAGGGTCCACATGAAACCCGTGAGCCCAGAGCAACTGTGACAGCACCCAGTCCCCTCTAGTCCTACATCACACTGCAATAGGAGCAGCGCCCTACCTGAATGTCAAAGCCAGCCTTCGAGGGAGGGGGTCCCCTGTGCCCAGCACTGGACTGAGTGCTCCAGGGCACCCTCCTTGGATCTTCACAGAAACACTGAAATGGGACCATTATTATCCCCACTTTACAAATGAAGAAACTGAGACTGACGTAGAAAAGAAAGGGACACCCAGCCCCAGCCAGGGCTCTCCTTCCTTTGTCATCAGGCTTCAGTTCTTGAATCCACCTGGGCTCTGGCCTGGGTATCCCCAGAGCGGTCCACTGCCCCATCCTTCACTCTTTCCAGCCTTGCTTGTGAGTACAGACTCTAGCCAAGTCCTGGGTTCATCCCAGTTCCACCATTTCTTGGTTTTGGGGGCTTGGACAAGTTATTCTTTGTGTCTCAATTTTCTCTTCTGTAAAATGGGTACCCAGGGCTACCATGAGGATTGAAGTGTGTTGGTGCAGGATAAATGCTTAGAGCACAATGTAAGCTCTATCTGAGTGTCCCTTTAGACTCATGAGACCCTGCTGGGCTGGCCTTGCACCTGCAGCCACGACCTACTAGCTCAGCCACACTCCCCCTGCCCCAAACCCCTCTCATTGTTTACAAAGCTTCTGCCAACTGGTTCCACCACTGGGTACATACCACCCACCCCGTCCCTGTGTAGCCTTCTCTGGAGCCACATCCTCACCAGAGAGCACTGAGTACTTGTTTTTGCTTCTTTTCCTGCACAGCACCTCCTTCGAGTAGCCTACCAGGATCCTGGCAGCGGTTGTACCTCCAAGACTCTAGCTGTGCCTCCTGGGGCCTCAATCGCCACCCTGAACCAGCTCTGTGCCACTAAGTTTCGAGTCAGCCAGCCAGATGCTTTTGGCCTATTCCTGTACAAGGAGCAGAACTACCATCGCCTGCAGCCTGGAGCCCTGGCCCACAAGCTTCCCACAGATGGCTATCTGGTCTACCGCCGGGCAGAGCGGCCTGGGACCCCAGGGACTGCAGCAGAGGAGGCAGGCAGTGGGCAGCCAGTGTCAGGTAGCCAGAATGAGGAGAAGGGGGTGCAGGGAGATGAGGATGTGGAAGCCAGAGCCAGCCCCAGGGACAGTGGGGGAGAGTCAGAGACAACTGCTGAGGGAGGAGAGGGTTAGGTCAGGGGGGACCTTCAAGAGCCAGAGGCTGCGGGAGCCAAGCAGCAGAGGAGTAGCTAGAAGGGGCCAGAAGCATCACCTGGGGCAGAAGCCTCTAAGCTGGTGGGAAAGGCCCTCATAGCCATCAACCCCACCCCCCAAGGCCACAGCCTTCTTGGCAACCCCACCCAGCCATCTCTGGTGTCCGCCACCACCTCTGAGTGGCACTTATCTCCGTGAGCCTATCTGCCAAGGAGCTGGGAGACTGGCCACCTCTGAGTAACTAGAGTAAAGTTGAGGAGGTTTGGGGGATCCCAGACTGTGTTCAAGCACCCTTGCTTCTTGTTCTTCCTCCCCAGCCGCAGGGGTGAGTGTGCCCCACAGGGAACAGATCAATCTGATGACCAACCTATGGCATGGGGGTGGTTTCCTTGCCTTCTGTGACATAGGCAGGGCTACTGTGGACTTCGGGGCCCTGAAAAGCTCCAACTATGCCTGGTGTGGGAAGGAGGCAGCAGAATGGCAGCAGAGGACCTGCTTCCCCCAGCCTCAGCATCCTCCTCTGCAAAGTGGGTACACTATTGCTGTCCTGCCCTTCACCCAAAAGTGCTCGAGGGTCCTTAATGGATTGTTTCATTGCAAAGCAGAGCTCTTACTAGGGGGAGGGGAGGTGGGCGTTAACAGCCCCCACCTGCTCTCAGGTGCCTGCTCCCTGCCAGGTGGGACCCTCTGCTGCACAGGAGTCAGACCAGTCAGACCCCGGGGAGAAAGTACCCTTGTTCCAATCTTTCCCGAAAATTGGCAGTCCTCCCGGGACTCCAGCATCCCCAGGGAATTGGGCAAGGGCAATAATGCTCACCAGTGGCCCATGCGCTTCCAGGATGGGGTGGAGGGCAGGTGGAGCTTGGAAATCATTTACTCTGCATTAGATCTTTTGGTCCTCACAAAAGCTCTGTGGGCAGGCAGGCTATGTTCTTGCTGGCCCCACTGAGGTGTGGGAAGGCAGCTCCCAAGAGTCACACAGCAAATCAGCCTCAAAAGGAAGCCCAGAAGAGGCTTCAAATGTAAGCAAAGAAAAACCGCTGACCACCAACCACGAGGGGGCGTGCACAACCCAGAGAGCTGCTGAGAGCGGCTAGGATAGCCAAGGGCCATGGAGCACAAGTTTCTGTTTGCCACCATGAAACAGCAACAGCGTGGGGGCTGAAGCTACTGGCCCTCAGGTCCTTCAGAGTTGGGTCTGGGTGAGGCCAGCCTCTCAGTGGCCATTCTTCAGGAAAGGATTGTCCCCAGATGGAGGAGGGCCCCAAAGAGTCTCAGAGACACCACCCTGAGGTGCTAAGCACAAAGGGACATCAGCCCATGTGTCAGGCATGACAACTGGGAAGTAAAAATTGTGGACATTTGCTTTCAGATGATCCAGATATAGCCCAGGTGCAGGGCTTCCAAATTTTTCACTAGGTCCCAGAAGTTCTCCCCGCTTCCAGCTACTTGCTAGTAGGGAGTCTCCCCTTTATTCTGTTGTATGTCCTCCCCCTACCCAACCTCTGGCCCCAGAGCCTTACAGTGCTTAGCATGCCATAGGTGCTCAATAAATGTTGTCCCTTAATTAGAGGTTGATAACTAGGAATGAGGGGCCCTGGGGATACGGGAAGAGAGATTCTGGGAACTAAACACAGGATGTGTCAAGCTCAGTCCCAGAGGAGGGACCTGGAATGTCTGCAGGGGTGCTCAGAGAACCCCCAGGGCCGGATGTGGAAGTGGGTCTCACAGGAACAGTCAGAGGCTTCTGAGCCCCTGACTCTGACCATTTGCAAGCCCTTCCCATGTTCAGTCCCAGTTCCTGGCCTGGGAATTCAGTGATCCTCCAGCAGTGGCTCATGGGAGCACTGCCAGGTCCTGCCTGCATCCTGGGGACTTTTGTTTATCTGATTCTCAGGGGCCCAGGCCACATCAGCATGACCAAGTGTGATGATAAAGGGGCAGGGGCTCCAGGCAGGGTAGGAGATAATAAGCCAGCGTCATCCCTACTTTACAGATAGGAAACAGGCTAGCTTGGGGCATGTGGCTCCTTACAGGACAAAGGACTCAAACACGAGGTTCTCCAACACAGACTCATTTACTCAATACTCAACAGTAATATATTGAGTGTCCTGTGTAGATCAAGCACCAAGCAGCCACAACCCACAAGGAAACGGGTGGAATCTCATCTTCCTCATGCTGTGATCTGGGAGGAAGCAAAGAGCCTGCTGCATTTTAGGGGGTTCTGCACCATCCCTGCCACCAACCACGCTTGTTCTTATAGAAGAGGAAGCCAAGGCTGAGAGGTCCTGCACTTTGTGCAATGTCCACTGCTACAGGGCAGGGCTGGGACCCGGAACTGATGTTTGGCTCTGTGGAGAGCAGCAGTCATTTCCTTGCTTGGAAATGTTGCACTTATCACTTCCAAAGTCACCCTAGTTGAATGTGTGAGTGTTTATTGTCTGTCTCCCCCTCTAGCGTGCCAGAGCCAAATTGGCCTTGTTCCCAGCTAACTCTCGGGGGGCCCTAGAACAATGCCTGGGCCGGAATTGGCACTTAGTAAATCTGTGCAGAACAGTGTGGAATGATGGGTCCAGGATGACTCTACTGAAAGGGCTCCTTTGAGTTCCTGGGGTGGCATGTTCTCCCTCACTGCCACCAGGGGGTGTGCACACCTCATTTCCAGCTCCATGCCAGGTATTTTCTAAACGGAGGCCCATACATAGGAGACTCAGGACCCTGGGACCCATGCCCAGCCTGGCACTAGCAGTGGAGTAGGGATCCTGCAAAAGCAGGTCAGGACAGGGATGAGGGAGGGGCCGCCTGTCCCAGGTTCTACAGCCTCATAGGCCAGGAGCCAAGGCCTATGGGATGGCCTGGGAGAGGTGGGGTGGACAGCAGGCACCTGACTCACCTTCAGTACAACATTTAACACCCTGCAGTGACCCATGTTCAACATTTAACATCTTCTGACCCATGTTGTTTTTTTTTTTAAGAGAGAGAATTTTTGATATTTATTTCTTTTTTTTTTTTTAAA